TCGAAAAAAATGCTGGCAACACAGTACCAGTTGAGTATTGGTTGTTTACCTTTGTGATCGCAGGGCTGACTGGGAGCTTCCCATCATCACCAGAGAGTACCGTACCCCATATGGCTAGGCTGGGGAAAAGATCAAAATTCAAAATTCCAGGTATGGTCTCTACTGAATGCGTATCACTTTCGCACCATCGTGAAATCCAAAAAATTGTTAAGTCAAACCATCATAAGTTGGGGACCATCTGTGTTTTACTGCATGTAAATTATATTTTAATTGAAAAAGAGAAAACAAATCCATTACAATGTGAGGAGTGAACTCAGCGCTTTCCTCCCTGGCACTGACCACCACGCATGGCCGCATATTTACGTGAGTGATACAGGATTAGTGCCACCAGCTCTGGCAGAGTGGGGCTCGTGCTGCCTCCTTCATTCTTGTATTCCCAGTGCCCGGCACATGGCAGGCACCCCACACGTAAAACCAAGCTGTGTACAGATTGTTGGGGGTACTGAGGAGGGAGCCTGTCAGCTCTGGCTGGGGCTGGGGGTGCTTCACAGAGAAGGGGATGTGGAGTCACACCCTGGAGGCCCTTGGGGATTTTTTCTTATCAGAGTAAAGAAGGAGGGGTGAGTAGACAGAGGAGCCTGCATGTATGTGCAAAGGCCCAGAGGCAGGAAGAGCTGCTTGTTTGTGCTGTGGTGGGAGGAGTGGAGGGGAGAAAGGTAGGCAGGGCCTTATTTGCTGACCTAAAGCGTGAGGTCTTAAGTCTATGGGAGCCATGGAAGGTTTTGAGAGAGGGCAGTCACAAAAGCGGATCTGCATTTTAGAAAGATCAGTGGGTTTGCAGACTGGAGCCCAGGGGAAGGGCTGGGAGTTCTTCATGGAGGGTGAAAAGATGGGGACAGCCCATGAACACTTGCACCTGCCCTGGGCATTCAGGGGAGATCTGAGGGTCTGAGCTCTGGCCTGCTGGGCTGGGGAAGGAGCGCCACCTACTGGCTCTCCCTGCTCCTGGACTTCGCAGGCCACCAGGATGCTTCTGGTCCCGCAGTGGGACAGGCCAGCCTGTGGCCCTCAGAAGGAGGGGGCAGAAAGAGACCTTCTCTGGGGGATGAGCTCTCCCTCTGGTTCAGGGGCCTGAGATCAGTACCTTGTGCAGATGCAGGGAGGAACAAGGTTCCCCTGTACTGAACGAACACAAATTAGTATTACTAGGTTCTGCTAATCCTGCCTGGCTTTGGAGCCAAGTTCCACCACCTTCTAGCAGTGTGACCTTGATAAAGTTACTGAAGCTCTCGGCGCCTCAGTTTCCTCATCTGTAAATTAGGAATAGTAATAGCATCCACCTGTCAGGGTTGTTATGAGTCAGCAAATGTAAAGCACTCTGAATGGTGCCTGAAACCTGGTAAGTACGCAAAGCTCTTACTATAGCTATTATTATTTTATCACCATCATCACTCAGGGCACGAAGTGAGGAGTGCCTGGCGCCTTTGGAGGGCTCATGGGCTGCAGGCCGAGGGGCAGCCTATGGCACAGGGGGCCTGAGGGCAGCTGTGGCAGCTGGAGAAGGGCTGGGCCCCGTGACTAAACAGCTCAGACTCTCTCCTGACCACAGTGGGGACAGGCGAAAGGTGCTGGCCAAGGAAGAAAGGGGTCAGATCTGTGTTTTGCAAGCCCAGCAGCTACACGTCCCTTTCTGCTCTCACACGTGCTCTCCCAGGGAGCCTCATACCCAGCATCCCGGTCCTCGGCGTGCAGACCCGGAAACGGGCTCAGGGAGGTTAAGGAATGTGTGCAATTCACATGGTGAATCAGGCACAGGGCCCTAAACTCTCAGCTTATGACCCCACAGCCCGGAGCTCCATCTCTTCCACGGTGCAGTGGTCATGGGAGGGATTCCATAGCTTTTCTGGTCCCTCTCAGCCAGAGCAACAATCTTCTTTCAAGAATTAATTTTAAAACTGACTTTTTAAATTGAAATTAAAGCGTCTTCCCTTTCCCATCTGGGCCAGTTCCTGGCTGGGAAATTTGCAGCAGGAAGAGGGTGTGAGCGTGTGTGTGTGTGTGTGTGTGTGTGTGTGCGTGCGAGCATGTGAGTGTACATGTGAATGAGAAATCATGTGAGTGTGTGTTTGTCATACAGACAGTCTATTGGGACTCCTTGGACCCAGGCTCGCCTACCCACTTATGTCCCACCAGGCTCCTTCTATAAGGAGTGGTGACAATGACTGGTCCTCTGCCACCCCCCCCCACCCCCTCCCCAGTGGCCTATGCCAGCTGCTTCCTGCCGTGGATCTGAGAGACCAAAGGCCTGCATTTGCTCTCGGGCACTTCTCCGTGCAGACTTCTGGCCCCTCACTCGAAAGTTCCAGCCCCTGGCTGCGCACTGCCAGCCCTTGCCCCCACCCCTCTTCCCACTTAGAGCTCCAGAGGGAAGCTGGTTTGCCGGAATGTTTACGAAACATGAGTGAGAGGTTTTTATTTTTTTGGAAAGAAAAATTAGTGCAGCAGGATTCTTCAGACTGAGTGCAGTATTTCTGAAATTCAAAACCTGACTTATGTATTTTCCTGTCAACAGTGCATCTCAAAACGTCACGCCTGCTGCCACCAATTAATTCATAATTTTCCCATTCACGATTAAGTTGCTTGGTGTCAGCAGATGCAAATTCTGTGAAGTCATGCAGTTTTGCTTTCAAGAGGAAGTTGTGCAGACTTTATCAAGCAGCCAAGTTATAATGATGTGTGTAAATCGAATAATAAAGCCGAATTTTTGCCCCTCGTGAAAATCAGTCATATGTTTCTGTGTTTGTGTGTGTGTCTGTTCATTGAGGTGTAAGTGATAGATAACATTGAATTAGTTTCATGTGTGCAATATAGTGATTCGATATTTGTGTATGTTGTGAAATGATCACCACAAATAGGTCTAGTTAACATCTGTCACCACAAGTAGTTACAAAAATTTTTTTTCTTGTAATGGGAACTTTTAAGATCTACTCTCAGCGATTTTCAAATATGCAATACAGTATTATTAACTATAGTTGCCATGCTGTACGTCACATCCCATGACTTATAACTGGAAGTTTGTGCCTTTTGACCACCTTCACCCATTTTGCACTGCTCCCTATCCACCGTCCCCCAGCTTCTGGCAGCCACCAGTCTGTTCTCTGTATCTATGAGCTTGGTTTGTTTTTATTTTTTTGTTTTTAGATTCCACCTATAAGGGAGATCATACAGTATTTGTCCAGGGTCTTTCCATGTTGTCAAAAATGGCAAGATTTCATTCTTTTTTTATGCTGAATAATATCCTAGTGTGTGTGTGTGTGTGTGTGTGTGTGTACGTGTGCCACATTTTCTTTATCCACTCACCCGTTGATGGATACTTTGGTTGCTTACATATCTTGGCTATTGCAAATAATGCTGCAGTGCACATGGGGGTTCAGATATCTTTTTGAGTTAGTGTTTTCATTTCCTTTGGATAAACACCCAGAAGTGGATGTTATGGTAGTTCTATTTCTAACTTTTTTTAGCAACTACCGTACTGTTTTCCATGGTTTCCAATTTACATTCCCATGAACAGTGCATGAAGGTTCCCTTTTCTCCATATCCTCACCAACACTTATTTCTTGTCTTTTTGATAATAGCCATTCTAACAGGCGTGAGGTGATATCTCAGTGTGGTTGGGTCATATATTTTATATTCACTATTCTTGGAGTTTCACAAAATAGTATCAAACTTATTTTCAAGAAAAATTTCAAAATTGTGTGAAAATTTACCATGGAATCCCACAGCAGTTTGCAGGAGCATTTCGTTGCTGCAAGGGCCCCACTACTGAATTGCAAGTTTTCACTGGAGTGTCTCTCTCTCTCATCTATCAGGCTGGGATTTTCTCAAGGATGGGACTCCGTTTTATTAATCTGTGACCACAGTATTGCCTGTAGTTGATGCTCAATAAATATTCATTGGGGACTTCCCTGGCAGTCCAGTGGTTAAGACTCCATGCTTCTACTGCAGGGGGCAGGGGTTCAGTCCCTGGTTGGGGAGCTAAAATCCCACATGCCACGGGGCACGGCCAAAAAAAATACATATATATATTCATTGGATGAATCAACCAAAAGAAATAATGATTGGGAAAAAGTTGGAGTTAAGTGACTTGTGGGTGGTTGGAAGTTGTACAGGTTCTAATGATATTTTTCTTTTCCTTATTCGTTATCTTGGGCTGCCTTAACGAAATATCATGGACCAGATGGCTGCAACACAGAAATTAATTTTCTCAGCCAGCCACCTCTCTGTGTCCTCACATGGCCTCTGTTCAGTGTGTGCACGTGCACAGAGAGAGATCTCTGTCTGTCCTCCTCTTCTTAAAAGGCCACCAATCTTATTGGATTAGGGCCCCACCCCTCTGACCTCATTTAACCTAATTACCTCTTCAGAGCCTATGCTTAAATACAGTCACATTGTGGGGCTTAGGGCTTCAACATATGATTTCTGGGAGACACAATTCAGTCCATAGCAGTCATTTCCCCACTCTAGGGGGCCACCCTTGGAGATTTGTGGGAAGGCAGAGCTGGTAGGGACTTTACAATGCACCCGACACAGAGGGGTGGTCACTCACCCGGGGCCGCATAGCCTGTGGGCACAGAGCTAGGATGATGGGCTCTACTGCCTGGGGGGCTCCCAGAGCCCTAGGCTGGGCGGTTTCAGCAG